CCCCTGTCCCCAGCAGTGTCCCCTGTCCCCAGCAGTGTCCCCGTGTCCCCAGCAGTGTCCCCGTACCCGCTGCGCAGGGCAGTGATGATGCAGTCGGCGCAGAAGCGGTGCAGACACTCCTTGGTGGTCATGGTGTTCTTGAGCATGTCCAGGCAGATGGGACACATGAGCTCGCTGTGCAGGCTCCGYGGTGACACCACGATCTCCAGACCATCCGTGATGGCTTCCTGGTGGCAGAGACAGGGAAGGTTTTCTCGTGGCGTGGAGCCCCTACCGCATTTTATCCTTGGCAAACGCAGCACAGGTGGGACGTACACGAATACTCAGGCACACAGAACCCCCGGTGCTGCCAGCCCTGCGGTGCTCAGCACAGACCAGCAGCTGCTGGACAGCGGCCAACAGAGGCCACAAAGCTGGCAAGGGCTCTGGAGCATCCCCCAAATGAGGAGAGACTGTGGGAGCAGGGCTGGTCATTTGGAGAAGACGACTGAGAGGGGATCCCATTAATCCACATAAACCTCTCAGGGATGTCAGAGAATGGTGCCAGGCTCTGCTCGGTGCTGCCAGTGACAGCAACAGGAGCAATGCCATGAGTGAAACACAAGTTCCACCAAYATGGGGAGGAGCTTACCTTGGAGGGTGCAGCTGCCCAGGGAGGCCCTCTGGACACATCCCAAACCCCCCAGATGTGTCCYTGTGTCCCCTGCCTGGCCCAGGGGGGTGGCCTGGGTGACCCCAGAGGTCCCTCCCAATCCCAGCAGTGGCTCTGCCATTACCTGGGGCGTTCTCTGCAGCTCGTACAGGCTGAGCTCCCAGGTCTTGCTCAGGGGCTGTGTCCCATTGGTCTGCACGGCCTGCGACATGGCTGTGGAGAGAGGGGACCGGGCTGAGCGCTCAGGGGGCCCCTCGGGATGCTCTGCCATCTAGGGCCACAGTGGGGGTTTGTCCAGCTTTGGGAGTCCCCTGTACCAGACTCTGCTGGGTCACACACAGACAATCCCCCGCTCAGCCCCTGGCAAAAATCAATTCTGTCCTTGAACAAAAGTGACACACAACTGAAGGCCAGACAACTTGAGCCACAAATGACACCTGAGGCAGAAAATATTCCTGAAACACCCACTGCCAAATGTGCCCACGGGTCAGGGAGGGTCTGCTGCCAAACCCAGGGGGAGAGCAAAACGAGCTGGGACACAGCACACAGGCCAAACATGCTCGCTGGGGCACACCACAAGGGCCTCTTCTTACTCCCCAAAATACATCGTGGGGACTTTCCCAGCAGGACTCTGAAGAATGATGAAAGATCAAGAGTGCTAGCAACTGAGACATGGATTTTGCCTCGGGGGTTGCGCACAAAGCCGTTTATTCTAAAGAAATTTAGATTTTTTTATAATAATTTAAACAATTGACCATCAGTCTCTATTCGCATATAACATCTAAAATATGGGTCAAGCTTGTTCTTCTTCTGTTCTTCTCTTRATTTCTTCTTTGTTTTTCCCCAGGGTTTTAGCTCTTTGTGAACTGATCTCTGTATACTAACTCTATCTATTGACTTAAGATTTTTTGTTCACTAACCCAAATAGCTCTCTGCTGTCCGAGGCCTGCACCCCTCCACATCAGTGAAACCCAGTCACTGTATAATTTTAGTTTTCATAATATTTTTAAAACCACATAGAAAAACAGCGTTGCTATCCCATCAAAATTTTAGGATTCTTATATGAGATAAGGCAAAATTAACACACAGAGTCACTGTAGATGTGAAAAAGTTCAGTCAAAATTACAGAAGAAAGCGATGTTTCTGAACAGCAAAAACATCCCCTATTCTGTCTGTTGTGTATAATCACAGAATCTTGGAATAGTTTGGGTGGGAAGGGAGCTTTAAGCTCAATCTCATCCCACCCCTGCCATGGCAAGGATACCTCCCATTGTCCCAGGCTGCTCCAAGCCCCAATGTCCAGCCTGGCCTTGGACACTGCCAGGGATCCAGRGGCAGCCACAGCTTCTCTGGGCACCCTGTGCCAGGACCTCCCCACCCTTATAGGGAACAATTCCTTCCCACAATCTTATTTGTCCCTGCCCTCTGGCTGTTCATCCTTCTCCTGTCACTCCAATTCCAGTTTTACTGTGTAAATACTGTACCCTAAAAACAGAGTTTACCTGTCACAAGGGACATATTCCTCTATGGATCAGAAAAGTCTCATSTCCACTTAGGAGCTCACCAGCCCGGTAAAGGTAAGAAGCCACCATGGCCCAGCTGCAGCCTGAAGCAYGGGGCTGTCCTGCCAGCCTGTCCTGTTTTATTTCAGTTATTCAGCAGTATGGATTTAATGATGACATTARGTGACACATCTCAGCACAGAAAGGAAATGCTATTTCTCTGTGTTCTCATTTCCACTAATATTTACAGCAATTCCAGGTGTGCAGGAAGCCAAGTACCCCATGTGGAGGATTTTTGTGATGTGTTGTTCTAACAGAGGCCAAACACTATCATTCTCTGTCTGCTTCTGAAGCTGAYATTCACTTCACCATCACTTCAGCTGCTGAAACACATCCATGGAGCTGCTAATTCCCAAAAGCTGCAGGAGCACACAGAACAATACAGCGGAGTCCCAGGGCATCCAGCCTGTCCCAGCCAAGAGCCTCCTCTCCCCACCTGAGGGAGGAGCTCAGCCCAGCAGCCCCTGCATGCACAGGTAATTCCTCACCTGAACTCGTGTGCTGGCACCTGTCAGCAGCTCTGGGGGGCCAGGCTGTCAGCAAACCCCTCCATCTGCAAAACAACTGCACCAACACCAACATTTCCCCAAGGAAAGGGTGGGCAGGCCTTGGTGAGGCTGCCCAGGAAGCTCTGGAGTCCCCATCCCTGGAAGTGTCCAATGCAGCCCTGGAGGTGGCACTCAGAGCTCTGGGCTCTGAGAGACATGGTGGGCATCGGGCACAGATTGGGCTCCATGGGCTGGGAGAGCTTTTCCAGCCTCAGAGATCTGGAATTTATCCTGCAGCCATGCCTACAAGGCCCAGGCTCCACTGCCCAGGGCACTGGAGAGCTGCCATGATAAACAACTGACCAAAGGCTACCCATCTGAGCTGCCAAGTGCTTCACTCTCACCTAAGGGCTGCACTGACAGTACTTTCAGATTTTAAGAGGAAAAGCAGTGGCCTTAAAGCCACTGAAACCTGGAGAGATCCACACAGCCCATTCTGTCACTACGAAATACCTCCTCTGCCTCAGGCAAAGGAAACCCAAGGAGCAGTGGAAACATGGTCAGTTCAGGCACGCTGGGTCAACGCCACAAAACACCAAATTATGCTCCACAAAGTTTCTGATCTTCCTGATGATCAATAAAGAAGCCTGCTTAGCTTTTCCCCTGATCCCCTGCAATTTCCAGATCTATACTGGTCCTGAAAATTGCACATGAACAAGGCCTGACTACTCCCCCCTCTGGTACCAGTGGCTCCCAGCTTGGATTGTGGGCTGCAATTCAACCCAGCAGCACCCAGAGCTGGCACCAAGATCAAACACCCAACTGCACAGGCAGGAGGGGCATTTCCACCCAGAACTGACCACGTACCAGCCACAGGTACCAACCTGCAGTGACACAACCACAGCCAGTGAACCATCTCTGCAGGTATCCCATCAATGGAACCATCTCCATTTTTTCTGGGAAAGTGAGGTGGAAAACATTTCTACATGCAGCTGACTCTTCCTTTTAGGACAGCCCACTGCTCCTGAACTTGAAGCACCATCTGCTAAAAGCAATCCTGCATGGCTCAGATCCTTTCTAGAGACACAGAAGCAGGAAGTTTTTCATGAACCGAGGGAAGATTATCTTCCTGTCCTTGACACTGTTTTCAGAGGGAAAACCAGAAAGTTTCTGGACTCTGAAGGTACAACAGACTTTTTATTAACTACTACTGGCAAAGAGACAGAAGATACAGAAAAAAATGTCAAACTTCACATTTGTTCTTCAGTCTGGAAATTTATTCCAGTGAAATCCTACATTCTTAAAATCCCTGGCATAGTTCAGTGCTCCTCTGMATCCCTTTTGCCATTGTTTTTTAAACAAGTCTTACGTGAAGATTTCTCACACTCATTTTCCCAGCTCCCAGTGTGACACAGATTTCACCTCAACAATATCCACTTTTCACCTGTTCAGCATTTCACATCTTTTCCATCTTATAACGAAGGTGGGCTCTCCTCTTCACAGGTCACATGTGYGAGCAGCAGGAGCAATACGCAGTCAGACACCCTTGTGAGCCTTTGTTGCAAAAACTTCTAACACAACACAACAAGCCTTACACATTTATCATCTTTTTACCTTTATGACTTGTCTGATCCCACTGGATATGAGAGGAAAGCAACCAGTCCCACACCAACAGACTGAAATGAAGGGGAGAAACCACATTCACAGAATCATTGAACAGTTTGGGTGGGAAGGGCCCATCCAGTGCCACCCCTGCCATGGCAGGGACACCTTCCACTGTCCCAGGGTGCTCCAAGCCCCAATGTCCAACCTGGCCTTGGACACTGCCAGGGATCCAGGGGCAGCCACAGCTTCTCTGRGCACCCTGTGCCAGGGCCTCCCCACCCTCCCAGGGAACAATTCCTTCCCAATATCCCATCTGACCCTGTCCTCTGGCAGGGTAAAGCCATTCCCTGCGTCCTGTCCCTCCATCCCTTGTCCCCAGTCCCTCTCCAGCTCTCCTGGAGCCCCTTTATGCACTGAAAGGGGCTCCAAGGTCTCCCTGGATTCTCTTAGAACAAGATCATGCCTGTAACTTCTGTATTTTGCCAAACAGTTTTTCCTTGGACTGCAGTAACTGGAGCAGGCCAAGAAAGAATAATGCTTGAAGGAGCAAACGACACTGACACAACTGTCCATTCCAAGGGWRGTTCCCACCTTCCTTGGCAGACACCTTTTACACCACGACACCACCTTAACCAGAATTACTTGGACCCCTGCAAACCTTCGGACCAACTCAGGCTTCAAGCACAGCAAAACCCCTGAGCACCAACTGCAGAATTACAGGGCACACCCATCTGTCACCGTCACAGACAGAGATGATTGAGAAGCCAACGCATTACACCTCAACAACTCTGAAGAAAACCAKTGGGGATTTAAAAACTTAAAGTCTTGTTCCTGGAGGGCTGGGAGACAGGCACTTACAGGAAAAAACAGCAGTGTGGATTATCCTGTCTGCGAGGCCCTGGGATCTCCTGCCTGCTCACTGACTGGGGAATTTAGGCTGTGATGTCCTTCTTCCAAAAGCGCTAGGAAAAAGATTCCAGCAGACCCATATCCACCTTCCAACCTCTGACAATGCAATACATGTAATTATTGATTCCAACATGGACATGACCAACAGCAGGGTGGACATTTGGATATCCCACTGTTGCCCCTGTCCAGTGCAAGTAAAACCCAGCTGGCAACAAGCAGAGCAGAGCTGTGGGCAGCCCAGGGAGGAGCTCAGCACCAGCATTCTGCCYTTCCCAACTTACCCTTCACAGATTTCCACCCTCAGATCCACCAACGTGTAGCAGCTCCTTGGTGTTATTTCTGGAAACGTGTCAGTTCTGAAAATGTAACATTTCCTGAGCTTTGTCTCAGTACTGACCTTGATGCTGGTCCTGCTTTAACCAGGGAGGAGGGGATGCCATCAGACATCCCTCACAGCCTGSATTATGCTCCCAAATGCTTTGCAGTGCCTGTTTTAGCCCAGGCAAAGGCTAAAGAACATCTGCAGTGGGGTTGTGCCAGCACACCCTGAGATCAGAGAAAGATGGAGAAAGAGCCCCCAAACCCAACTCAGGTGTGACCATAACCACGCCAGCCCCTAYTTTAACTTTCTGTGATACTTTCACCGAAA